ATGCAGCGCACCCTTCGTGCGACTCGCCACATACCTCACGGCGCTACGCGCCTGGTGATGTGAGAGCCTGGTCCGGTGAGAACCCGGCGTGCTCCGTCCCGGCTTTGTAGGGATGCGAGGTCAATGGTCTAACGACTACGGCATGCACGACTGTGAGTACACCCTCCCACCCCCCCCCCCCTCCCCAACCCCAATGGTCTAACCGCTAAGGCATGGAAGACATAAGAGCACGCCCCTCTCCCCACCCACCCACCCCTCTCTTACCCATTTTTTAGGTATGCTGTCCCCCTCCACGAGCGGATGGGACTCCAGGGTCGTCGTCTCGCGCGGTATCGGAAAGCCCGCACCTCCGCAGACGCCGACACCGCTCATCCAGCAGTCGGAACAGGTCGTACAAGGACAAGGAGGCGGACTTGCGACGCCGGGCTAAGAAGGCGGGGGTCGGCGGCGGCGGTTCGGGGTCTACCAAGGTCATGATGGACGCCGTCCAAGAGCAGCAGGAGGAGGCGCAGCAGGCTCCGGCGTTCGGCATGTCGGCGGAAGCGACGGGGAGCGTGAACGGGGGAGGGGAAGGAGCCCCCCCAGGGCAGTGAAACCCCCCCAAGACGGAGCCAGGTTAAGGCTGACCTGCAGGGATCACCTCGACAGTATCAGGGGGTGGCGATACAACAATCGGGCCGCGGTAAGGCTACCCTGCAGGGATCGTATCAACAGCAGTCTCAAAGGGTGGCGGTATGAGCGGTTTGGGCGGGAGAGGCATTAAAGACCGAGACTCTGTTTTGGTTCCCGTTTGGCGTGCTAGTGGTCAGGCCGCCTGGCCTGGCTTAGGGTTTGTCGGCCGGCACGTCGTACACCTTGTTGTACACCCGGCGATTTTTTGTGTGGGGTGTGGTGGGCACTTCCTCGTCGGAGAGCAGCGTGGTTTGGGTGTGTAATCGTTGTGGGAGGTGGTTTTCGAGTGAGTCGCGTGGTCGTGCTGGTTCCTTTGGGTTTCTCAACTAGTGCATGGTCGGACTTATTTTTGATGTTTGGTAAAATAAGTTGCCGTCCCCGCGTTTCCCGTTTGGGGGAGGGGGGGGGGGGGGGGGGGGGGGAAAAGGGGGTTTTTTTTTTTTTTGGGGGGGGAAGGGGGGGGGTTTTTTTCTCGGGGGTTGGAAAAAAAAAATAGGGGGGGGGGCAAAAAAAGGGGGGTATTTTTGGGGGGAAAAAAGGGGAACCTTTTTTTTTGAAACCAAACCCTTTTTTTGGTTCCAAAAGGGGGGGGGGAAAGGGGGGAGGGCCCCCCCCCCATTTTTTTTTCCTTTTTCCCCCGGGAAAAATGGGGTTTTTTTTTTCCTTTTGGGGCCCAAACGGGGTTTTTTTTTTTTTAAAGGCCCCCCCTTGGCGGGGGGGGTTTTTTTTCCCCCCTTTTTAAGAAGGGGAAAGTTTTTTGTTTTCCTTTTTTTCACTTTT